GAAGGAAGGAAGGAAGGAAGGAAGGAAGGAAGGAAGGAAGGAAGGAAGATCTTGATGAGGAAGGGAAGGGCGAAGGAGTGTGCGTTGATTTTGAAAAAGAAAGGAAGGAAAGAAAGGACGGATGATGAGGAAGGGAGGGAGGAAGGAATGAGGGTTGATTCTGAAGAAGAAAGGAAGGAAGAAAGGAAGATCTTGATGAGGAAAGGAGGGAGGAAGGAAAGGAGAGAGAATTGGCTGTGTGAATGTCAAAGATTTAACCTCAGAATTCATGCACCTAAATCAGAAATCCTCTCTGAACTGTCTATATCCATCACTTCGTGCTCTTTGTGGCTTAAGAACTGCCAGTTGAACCTACTGAGCATAACAATGTATCTTTCATTTGAGATAAAAAGGTTTCTCAAATCACTTGCACAAGAAAAGCAAGCCAATTTTAGGGAGCGATTGGTGCATTTAAGCAGTTTGGGCTGCATTTCTATCTAATCAACGTGTGCAAACTTTTCATTCATTAGAACCGAACAATACCCAATTAGAGCAGCCCTGCCTGAAAGTCTTTAACAGGATGTTACCCGAAAGTAATATAAAAACAGGGCAGATAGGAATGCCCGTCCCCATATGGTTTGTCTCCAAGAATTAGGAATTTTAAAAAAGTGTATTTATGATTTAGAGCAGGGGTCACCAATCTTTCAGACCTCAGGGACAGGGGTGGGATTCTACCAGTTCGCACCTATTCACTAGAACTGGTTGTTAACATTCTAAGCAGTTCGGAGAACTGGTTGTTAGAAGAAATGACTGGCCTAATCCTGTAAGGAAGGCAGGAAGGAAACATTCTGGTGTTGCTTACAGAAACTGCCTCTCTGTTAACCCTTATTACATTCTTGACAGGACTAGACTTCCTGTCTCAGGAACTTCTCTGGAGTTTTTTTCCCCTCCTTTGCTGGTACTTTGCTTGTGTGGAGTGACCATTCAAAGTTACAATGGCACTGAAAAAAGTGACTTATGACCATTTTTCACACTTACGACTGTTGCAGCATCCCCACAGTCATGAGAGGCCAGGTGAGGAGATGCGTGCCTCAATGTGAGTGATATTGAGTTGGCCACACCCAGGCAATAACATGACCACA